CCCCAAAACCCCAAAACCCCGCTCTCTGAAATATTTAATAGAAGTAAGTGATCATTAAATTATAATAGAATTGTGATTAATAGTTAAGTAAGTAAATTTATTGATTGCTCATTTATATTTAAACTTCTCAAAATTTATAGTTATATACTGCCGTATTGTCATCGATGTTAAGAGACTTTGATAATGAAAATATTGTCTAGTATAAAGTCAAAGTACCTATCCTTGACAGTACAGCTTAGCGAAATAAAGATTAATTAGTAGCAATTAGTAAAGAATAAGAGTTAAGAATGAATATTAAAGGGATTAAATCATATGAATAGGATGAAGACTCCTCGGATTACTTTGAAGAATTAGACGAGCTAATTCCTGCCCAGATCTATAACTTTAATAAATAATATGACTTCGAGCGAAATCTAAAATCATGCATTAAGTTAGAGTAAAGAGTTAAAGGAAATGAATTAATCATAAACTAAGATATTAGTGAGAGTGAAAATCAATTAGTTATTAAACATAGCAAAGCTCCATAAAGAAAAAAGAGGAACAAAAATCTAAAGAATCAAATTTTAGATTAGTTTTAAAATGACATAGAAATGGATATTGATAAAGACACTGAGAAATTGAGGGAAAAAGCTGATTAATTTTTCCTGAAATCTCATAAAAATTTAATTATTAAGCAACATACTACAATACTTAATGCTACTAAGTCTACTGATATTGCATTTTCCAAATCAAGGGTAATTATCTAATCCCCATAAATTAATAAAAACGAGAGCCTTAGACTTGAGATTCTGAATGATAAAAATTAAAAAAAACTTGCTAAAATATCTCTATAACTCTAAAACATTTGTGAAATAAATAGTTCAATTGCATCAGGTAAATCTGAGAGTAATGAAAATATTGATCAGAGGCGAGAAGTAATTGAACACATGATCGTGATTCTCTTAAATAATAATAATCACAATATACATACACTCCTAGCTGCAATAAATATATTTGATCTTGCTATAAAAAAACCAGAGTTTTAAATAATGGCCTTATAAGATAACCTCGAATTATTTCAAATAGCTATTTGCTCATTAGTGATTTCTTCAAAGTATTGGGATGTTGATTACCTTAATTATTAATAGACTATCCAATTTAGTCTAAACTAGAGATATTAAATAGGTGATTTTATTGCATTAGAATAGAGATTATTGATGAGTATTGAATTTAAAATAAGCTAAACAGACATTTTCCAGGAGTCTATTTAATAACTTTAATTTTTCAATTCAATTCATACTAGTAGTAAACAATAAAATGAATTTTTGATGAATAATTTAACAGAAAAGCTTCGTCAATTTTCAATAACTTATACAATAAATGAGAATGAATTTACAAATTATGAGAGATAGCAAGTGCCGAATATACTTGCTTATATGAGCTTAAAGGAAATTATTGATGAAGTTTTGATAGAAACTCTGACATTAAATTAATTGAAGCCCAATCATTTCCTAATCTAGAACAAAGATTAAACATTGTACAGAGAAATTAAAAAGATGGCCTAAAGTTTCAAATAAAGATTTGACGAGACGGAAGAGATGAAGATGAAACGTAAAGAACTCAGCTCATTTATATTAAATTACGGTAGTGGTGAGGCTCTTAGTGGGCGTTTCTCTTGATTTATTTGTCATAGCTTATTTAACTATCTAGGCTATCACTCATTCTAAAAAGTAATAATTTGATATAATTTAAAATTAACTTAAAGAATCAATTGAAACAATTAATAAAAATTCGAGAATCAACTTTATTTTGACTAATGGGGTTTTGGGGTTTTGGGGTTTTGGGG